AGACCCCTGTCTACAAACTTATGTTGTGGTTACTGTATGTTACAGTCCAAGCTCATCATATGAATTATTTTTTCTTTTTTTTTTTTTTTTACTTTTTGCAAGGAAAGGCCCGCAGCTGCAGCCTGTGGGTTGCAAATACCCCCCTCAAAATACCTCTGCTCCCCCTCCTCCAAAAAAAAACACCTCTCCCAAATTTATCCCCTGCCCCTCAGGCTGCAGAGAGCTGCGGGATCAGTCCCAGAGGGTTCCAGCTGTTTGGGAGAAAAAAAAAAAAAAAGCAATTCAGAGCCCTGCACTCAAATCCTGCCTGGCAGCGAATGCCCTCACAGCCAGGGATATGGGGGGCTGGAGCAGTTAAAGGCAGGAGGCTGGAGGGCGACTCAGGCATCGGGGGTTTTGGTCCCCCAAGGTCCCCAAGGTCTCCAAACTCTGTGTTTTCACTCCAGCCATCACAGCAGGGAGGCAGAGTCCAGGTGGCCTGTCCACTCTCCAGTGAGGCTCAGTGGTCAAGGACACGTGCCAGGACGCTGGATTTGCCTTCTCTGCTTCTCTCCCAACCTCCTTGGGGACACAGTTCGCTATGTCATCGCCTGCTGCCACATCGGTCCAGTATCGCGCTGCAAGCACAAGTCCCACCTGTCCCGATCCCGCTGCACATCCTCCATCCGTCCGGGCATCCCACATGGGGGGCCTGGGACGGGACATGCTGTCCTCGGAGCCAGGCACCTCTTCTCTCCTCCACCGTCACGTCCCATCCTCGGGGCTGTGCGCTCTGAGCTGGGGCCACTGGTTTTGTGACCCGTTTGCGGTGCAGTGTGTCCTGCATCTCCTCGGTGGCAATCATGTTTGCCTGGAGAAAGGAGCAAAGCGGGAGTGTGAAGGACACCAGGTGGGACTTGTTGGGACCTGGTGGGATGGCATTTGCTATGAAGAGACCCCCCTGGAAGAAGGATACCGGGACAGAGTGGACCTGGTGTGATGCTGGTTGGGAGTGGGGAGGGGGTTCGGCCGTGGAGGGCTGCAGATGGGGACCCTCAGCATGACAGGAGCGCTGGGGACGTGCCCACACCTCACCGATCGCTGGAGTAAGGGTTGTCCGCGCTGGTCAGGTAGCTCCGCATGATCAGCTCCTGCTCCTGTGCCTGGTTGAAGTCCATGGCCCTCACCTCCTCAACTATCCTGGGAGACACAACGCGGTGGCGTTAGGAGGAAGCTCTCCACCCATCCTGTCCATCAGACCCACCACCCAAACGCCACCATGAGAGGAGGGAACTTTCGTTCATCTCGCTGGTGATGCTGCAGCCCCCGAGTTCCACTCACCCTGGAGCTCTGCTCCATCGCCCCCCAGCCTTCACCTTTCCTAGAAATCCCTCAGGATGGGAGTAATGGACATGTGGACTGGAGAGCAACCGGAGAGAAAGGCTGATATCCAGTGATGGGTGCATGACAGAAGCTCAAAGGTCTCCATCAACAGAGAAATGTCCAAAAGATGGAGGCTGGTGCGTGTTCTCACCCAACAGGAGCCTCAACACAGTCTTAGATTTCCTAGCAGAAGCACTGTCTCCAACCACTGTCCACCCAGAGGGACAGCAAGGCCATGGACTTCACCCAAGTGGACAACGTTTCTCTAGTTCTCTTCCTAGACAAGAGCTATATTACCTAATACCCATTCAACAGGCCTTCCTCAGGCTTTACAGCCACAGCTTTCCATCAGTAAAGTCCTCTCCCGTGCCAGAACCTCCTTGGTGGTACCTCCTTGTCACATTGGCCCCTCCAGATGGGTGGCAGCCATCATCCTCCACTCACAACTGAGAAGAAAGCCTCTCTGGGACAGATCTCCTTGGAGAGGGGATTATTTTGCCCTGACTGTGCATAAATGGGCTAATTCCGCCTAACTCAGCCTATGAGCAAGCTAGCAAAGAGGAAGGCATTTTAGAGCTGGCCTCACGTGTTGATCTCTTCGCGGATCTCCTTGTAGTGACTGAGGTTGTCCTGGATGGAATGCAAGAGGATGCAGAGGTTGTTAAAACTTTTTTTGTTCAGGTTGGGCAGGTGGGTGCTGAGCTGCTCCTGGGAGGTGAACATAGAGGTCTTGTCCCACATCACTGTCTTTGGGAACCTCAGGCTGCGCTCACGGTCCGTGTCAACCTCCTCGCCGGCCATCTGGAGGGGTTGAACATGGCAATGCAGCCGTGTCCGCTCCCAGGAGCTTTTCTTCTCCTGAGGCACAGAGCCATGGGAATTGCAACCCGGGGGTTTTCCCCTCTTGGGAAACCTCAGCTTCTCGAAGGACCGTGTCTCCACCCTGAAGGACCTCATCTCTACCCGCTTCTCCTGAGGCACAGAGCCATGGGAACTGCAACCCAGAGTTTTTCCCCTCTCAGGAAACCTCAGTTTCCTGAAGGACCATGAAGGACCTCATCTCTATCCAGCAAAGCATCTTTCTTCCTCTCAAACCACACAGCTCACCTTGGAGGACAGTGCTCTCCACAGAAGAGGAGCATCAGACCCAATCCCCCCACTACCACCCTTGAGAGACCCACGAGTTGCAGAACAAGGGTCCTGGATGACATGATCCCTCTGACACATGAGAAATCATTTTGGAGCTGGATATGACTCTAAAGGAGCCCCTTGCAGGGTGGATCAAAGATCCTTTTGAGCAGGAAAACGTTCCCCTTATGCCCACAAAGCCTGCAAATTAAAAGATCATGTGCTGCAAAGTGATGCCCAGGGTGTTCCCACAGTCCCTGCTCTTGGAGAAGACAAGAAGAACAGGATGGGGACCGCGAGGTGGAGGAGCATCCCTTAGGGAGGAATTGGGCATGGGAGGCAACCCTAGTTTGGCCACCCAGGAAGATGTTTTTATAGGGAAGCACCAAAACATGGCCCTTCCAGGGTCATTTCAAGATGTGTTTGCAGCCCACAGTAGCCCCTTGCTTGGCTCAGGATGCCCACAGAGCTGATCTGCCCTGGTCACCAGGTCCTACCTCCAGGATGGGCTGATTAGCCTGGCTGGGCACGTGCTCTTTCTTCTGCCTCTTTTTATGGGAGATCAAAGATTCCTCCAGGCTCGACATCACTACGGCCACCAGCAGGTTGGCGCAGATGAAGGCCCCGCCCGTGAGGAAGACGACGAAGTAAATGGCACCCCCTATTTTCAGAGCATTCCCTTCGTTCCTGCCAGGCACAGGGACAATCTGGTTGACGGTCGGTGGTGGCCACCATCCAAGCAAGGAGCCTATCTCAGCATCCATGGAGAAGGAGTTCCCATGTTGCCCTTACACACCCACATCCCACCCAGTCCTCCCTCTTTCCCCAGGGTAAGTGGGGACCCTGGCTAAGCTCCAGCATAGAGCCCTTGTCCAGGTGTCCCCAAGCCCTGTCACCCCAGCGGTGGCTCTGCTGGCTCGGGGCCCTGCAAAAGGACCAAGGCTCAATCACTCACTCGAAAGCCTGGTAGATGTTCAGCCAGCCGTCCTGAGTGATGCAGACGAAGAGCGAATACAGGGCCTTCCCCAGGTTGCCGAAGTGGCCTGGGATGGTGTTGCTGAAGAGGATGACCCCGAGCATCGCGAAGACCTGCACAAAGACAGCGAGGGAGGCGTCCCACCTTCACCGTCCCCTTCCCGGGCTGTGCTGGGAAGGATGCTCCGCATCTGGCAACCAAGACAAGGGAAGGCAGCTGTATTGCTTGACTAGGGAGCTCAGAAACCATCTGTGCTTCTGATGACCGTGACCAACACTGGATCCCCTTGACCAAAAGCAAGTGTTTCCTAAAGGGCCCTGGGCTCCTCCTGCCTGTTTCCAGGCCCACTGCCAGCTGGGCAATTCCTTAAGGAAGTGGGTGGCTTACCAGCATGAGGATAAAGAGCAGGAACATGATGTTGAGCAGGTTGGGGATGGCCTTGAAGATCACTCGGATCATCCGCGCCAGCCCCTTGACCAGCATGCAGACCTGCAGCAGCCTCATCACCCTGGGGCAAGGTGAGAGCTCCCGTCGCCTCGCTGATGGAGGGGGGAGGAAAGAGCCAGGAGGCCGCGGTTCCCTCCCAGCCTCTCCAGAGAAGCTCTAGGGGAGGTTCTGCTGGAGGGACCCCCCAAAGCAGCTCCGGAAAGTGTCAGTGAGGAGCAAGGGGTGAAAAGGGCTCGAGCTCCGCAGCATCTCTCCCTTGCAATCTCAGGGACGAAGCCGGGTAACGGCTGACGTTATGTGTCCAAATTAGGAAATTTGGGGGGGGGTTCTTGGATGGCTTTGGGTAAATCCCTCCCCTGTGCCTCGGTTTCCCCGCTCCCCTGCGCTCCCAGGGAGACCAGACCTTGCTTCTCCTCCACACACCCAGGACCTTGCACAGCAGGGGACAGGACAGGGCACCAAACTGGGGAAGCCGGAGGCTTTTGGGGAGGCCGCCCTCTCCCCAGCTCACCTCAGGATGTGGAAAATCTTTGGATCGTTGAGGACGGGGATCAAGGGGCCAACGAGCAGGTAGACCACGATGAGGAAGTTGAAGATGTTCCAACCGTCCTGCACAGAGAGGAAGAGGAGCTGAAGCCCGTGGCCATGCAGGGTACATGGGGCTCCAACATCGGTTGCAACCACAGGGACCCCCCCAAAAAAAGCCCAAGGGACCCCCAAAAAACTGTGTTCTTCCCTATTTGCCCCCATTAGCCTGCAGGGGGCCAAGCAGGGCTACCAGCCATGCAGCAGCCAAGCAGCCTCCCAGCTGGGCTGGTGGCCTTGGAGAAGGTCCTGGTGTCTCCCAGGCAGAGATGGGCCAGAGGAGAAGTCAGGAGCCCCCCATCAACAGCACAGGGCGTGAGAAGGGGCCCAGGAGTCCGGCTTTTTGCTGCATTAAGGGTGATGGAAGCAGGGAAGGCTTTGCCGCGGCGGAGGCGGTTGTGGAAGCGGCCTCGGCCTCTTCCTCCTCTTCCCCTGGAGACGGCAGCATCGAGCCACAGCCGGAGAGCCCATCTCAGCCCTGCTGGTCCCGGCCGGGCCATGTCCCCGTCCCCTCACCACCTCCGTGTCCCTGTGCTCCCGACAGCCACGAGGGCTCCCAGAGACCCAACACCCGGGAGAGAACTGGACACTGGGACACGCAGAGCAAGCAGAGGATGGATGAGAGACTGCAGGATGCAGGGACACAGGGATGCAGGGACACAGCAATGCAGGGACACAGCAATGCGGGGACATAGGGCCACAGCAGTGCAGGGACACAGGGATGCAGGGACACAGGGATGCAGAGGCATAGGGATGCAGGGACACAGGGATGCAGGGACACAGCAATGCAGGGACACAGCAATGCGGGGACATAGGGCCACAGCAGTGCAGGGACACAGGGATGCAGGGACACAGGGATGCAGAGGCATAGGGATGCAGGGACACAGGGATGCAGGGACACAGCAATGCAGGGACACAGCAATGCGGGGACATAGGGCCACAGCAGTGCAGGGACACAGGGATGCAGGGACACAGGGATGCAGAGGCATAGGGATGCAGGGACACAGGGATGCAGGGACACAGCAATGCAGGGACACAGCAATGCGGGGACATAGGGCCACAGCAGTGCAGGGACACAGGGATGCAGGGACACAGGGATGCAGAGGCATAGGGATGCAGGGACACAGGGATGCAGGGACACAGCAATGCAGGGACACAGCAATGCGGGGACATAGGGCCACAGCAGTGCAGGGACACAGGGATGCAGGGACACAGGGATGCAGAGGCATAGGGATGCAGGGACACAGGGATGCAGGGACACAGCAATGCAGGGACACAGCAATGCGGGGACATAGGGCCACAGCAGTGCAGGGACACAGGGATGCAGGGACACAGGGATGCAGAGGCATAGGGATGCAGGGACACAGCGAGGAAGCGGCCCATGCACCCCCTGCACAGGTATTCCTCGCGGTCCCACAGGTCCTGCCGAGGGCAACGGCGTGAGAGCAGCGCCCACGCGGCCGGAGCGCCCGCGTGGCCTCGGGGCAGGGGTCCTACCTCGCCGCGCACCACGTCTTTGTAGTTGATGGGCAGACACTTGTCATCTATGTCCGGGTTGTCCTGGCAGTGAGGGACGAGGCCATCGCGTGGGTCCGGGTGGTCCCACACCCCACCAGACCCCCTGCCCCAACCACAGCCTCCCCCGCAATCCAGACACCCGCTGTCCCGGTGGGAACCCCGATGGGGACCCGCTCACCCTCCTGATCTTCAGCGGGGAGGCCATCCCGGCGCTGCCAGGCATCGCCCGACCCGCTCCGGGCACCCGTGATGCTGCGACCGCCCCGTTCCGAGCCGGCGGAACGGGCAGCAGGGCCCTTCCGCACCCTGTGACGTCGCTCCCCATGCCTGTGACGTCACTGCTTCCCGCTCCATGGGGAACCCCACTGTCCCCCTTCCAGGTGAGGAAACTGAGGCACATCAGGAGCTCAGGTACCATCCCTGGGTGTCCCCCCGCGACCGGTGCTGCCGATCCAGGAGCAGCCCCCCTTGCTGAGCCCAGGTCTCCTCGGTAGCACTCGGCTCTTCCCTCAGATCCCCCTTTGGCATCGTGGGAGGGGGCAAATCCCACTCCCCCAATCTGGGCCCACAGCTTCCAGGGGGGCACAGCTGGGATCTGGCAATTTTGAGGGCTGCAACCAGGGACGCGGCACTCGGGCCGGGGATTCGAGCCCTGACACGGCCCGTGGGAAAGTGGAAGCCAAAGGCCTGGCCGGAGCAGCGGGGCCGGCTGCCAGGACGCCTGGGTCCCCTTGCTGGGGCTGCCAGCGCTGCCGGGTGGTCCCGGCGGGTGGGAGGTGAAGGGGCTCCACGTCCCCCCCGGATTAGCGGGATGGGAGATGCTGTGTGGGATGGGTGCGCGTGGGGGCCCCGGAACCGGGCGCTGCGCCGGGGCAGGTCAGGAACAACCCAACCCCTGGCCCCAATCCCCCAGCGCCCCCGATTCGTCATCCTCCCTTCCCCTCGCAAGTGAGGCCGGGCGCCGTGGCCGCTCCGGCCACTCCACATCGGGAGCTGGGACAGGAAGAGCCGTTGCTTGAGCCGAAAATGCCGCAGGGCCCCAGGGGACGGATATTTTTGCCACATTGGGAGGAAGCCGAGGGCTTGGGGATGCCCTTGGGGGACAGTCGAGGCCTTCACAGGGCTGGTGAAAGGGGTCTTTTACTTTAGGGGGAGGTGATAATTGGGGCAGGGGAGTTGCATGTCATTGCACACATGTGAGCGCACACACATGCACGGCATGCACGGCAGATGCATGCATGCATACGTGTCAGCATGCATATTCATGCAGGTCACTGGTAGATGCATACGTGAGCATGCATGCACGTGTGGGAGCGTGCACACGCGTGCTGCTGCCATGCCCACGATGCACCCCTGCTGCAGCGTGCACACACCAGTGCATGCACATGCTTGCACACAGGCAGCGTGTGCACGCATGTCCCTGGTGGGGCAGCTACGCTGCTCTGCAGCGTGTGCACATGCATGTGCAAGCGCGTGCAATCGCAAGCCCATATGCATGCAAAAGCACGTGCATGCGCATGCAAACAGCGTGCACGCGCACAGGCATGTGCGTGTGCAAAGAACATGCACTCGTGCTCGCCTGCAAGCACCCGTGTGTCCCGGGGCCCCCCCGGACCCCCCGGCACGCACCCCAGCGCCCCAGCGAGCGCGCTGGCCCCGCGGCCGCCCGGCTGGCTGGTT